CCTGCTTTTGAATCGTGCCTTTGCCGAGCCCATAGATCAGCTTGGCTCAGGCTTTGCGGTGGCAGTAACCCAGCATTATTGAACCTGTCCTCCTCGCTCTCCCAGGCAGTCACACGAGCGTCTGGCCAGATTTGCAGGACTCAGCAATGGACAGCCCGGGCCCCACTTACTCCAAGGAGCCGATCGATAACAGAGGCGGGTGATAGATGAGGAGAGTTAGGGATGGATAATCTGCTGAATTTACATGACCCAGGGTGGTCCAGGGAAGGCTTGCAGCTTTGCTGGGAGACTTTCAATAGGAGACAGAAGTTGCCTTAGTTTCCAGCTGCTGACTGCATTTTAAAAACATTGCAGGGTCTGTTTGGGTGGGTGGAGGAAGCTGCCAATTGTGAGCAGAAAATAAAGCGGCATGTCCGCTCCTGCCTCCCGGGCTGCATCCCCCGGTCCTGCCCAGAGCAGCCGAGCCGGCACTGCGGGAAAGGGAGCATGCAGTGCCAGGCACCCATCTGCCCTTGCTGTCAGGCTCCATCCCACGATGGAGGTTCAGGAAAGAAAATACTGCCAGAGTGGGCAAGATGAGTTTTGAGATATTATTTAGATACCAATTTGATACCTGCGTTAAATTGGTAGTGCTGATTCACTTGGTAAGAAGCAGAAAGTTTCAGGCCCAAAGCTCTGTATTTCCAGTACCTGCTTAGCAAACAAATCATAAAAACAAGCACTAGTAGGTTGAAAAGAGAAACAAAAAGCTTTGCTTTTAAATAATAATAATATTAATAGAAAAGATACTAGTTTTCCAGTCCCACTGATACTGGAGAGTGGAGTTTTAGAGCTTAATCCTGTAAGAAGCTGTTAAATGCCTTCTGCCATTACCACAGAGCATATGCCAGTGGCCAGCTTTTGGGGAGGAAACTTCCCTTGAATTGAGGCTGCCCTGTAACTGTTTACAGTGGTGTCTTCCTTTTGTCTTACTTTGTTTGATCTTTCACAGAAGCATCTGGTCTGGCCTTTGCTGAGACACCACACTGGGCTGGAAGGACTGCAGGTCACTTCTTCTACCCACAAGTGACACCTCTGGTGCCTGTAAAACTATAACCTTCCTGCTGGCTGGAGTGCGCTGCTGACAGACCAGCACTCTTTGATTTAAGTGGTTTAGTTTTTATCTGTAATGTGTCTATGTCATTTGGTCTCAGGTTCAGTTTTTTTGGCAAGAAATAATGTTTAGAAAACCTCTAAAGGACATAGAAAACCAAACCAAAGAGTTATTTGAAATAAAAATGTACACAAATTCTTTCAAAGCCAACCTTCCCTCCTTTCCTTATATTTGCTCATCTTGGAGCTCAGGCCTTGCAGTATGCACAAAATGCTAAAAGATACAGCACTGCAGAGCAACTGGGAGCAAAAGTGAGGACAGGAAAACTGTTTTCAATATGCAAACTGATAAAAGAACCCAAATTCTGGGTAGTAGAAAATAAAACAGATTTTCATGATTCTTCCCAGTGCAGCAGTCATAGAGGTTTCTAAAAAAGATTATTTTTTTAAAAATAGATATGATTTAAATCAAAGTATCTTTCTTTATTATTTTACTGAATTAGAACCCAGTCCTACAGTTAGATCTATTTTGGATGGAGCTGATTGAAAATCCTCTTACTCCCTCTGATATGAGGAGGTCTTTGCTGTCTGTTCCTCTGTATATCTTGCTGCAGAGTTGATGTCTGGTGATGAAATGGTCTTCTTCTGCTTGCAAATCCACATCTGCAGGTAGAATTAATTGTTCCAGAGTCCAAGATCTTCTGGGGGGAGCATTGCTGGGAAAAAAAGCAGGACCCTAAGAGATGCCTTGTGCAGAAGTGCACGGTGCTGATGTAGATGTAAAGTTGTTCACCAGCTTTTTTTCTGTTATTTTGTTGGATATTGTAAGTACCAGAGGTAGACCATGGCTGAGGAATGGTTTTCAGACCAAAGGTCAGACGCTGTCAGGGGGCAGCAAGGTGTCTTCACACCATGCAAAAATTGCGGTTCTAATGGAGAAAGTCCTTAAAAGAACTGTTTTTAAAAGCCCTTCCCTTCCCTTCCCTTCCCTTCCCTTCCCTTCCCTTCCCTTCCCTTCCCTTCCCTTCCCTTTCCCCTTTATATTAGCATGCGCAGGTTTTGGCTCTAAGCCAGGCTGTCCTGCTGGGAAGGGGGGCACTGAGCAGGGATGGCATGGACTGACAGGTTGCAAGGAAGGCTGTGAGTATGGGAAGCTCTTAGCTGAAGGAGTCCTGCAGCTCTGTAAATCATCTGTTTGGGTAGCTGTGCTGGGTGCCACAGCACCCCAAGTGATTGAAAGTGATTGAAAGGAGCATCCCAGAGAGGGAAAACAGGGAAAATACCTGTGCAAGGGTAGGGAGTTCACAGGAGAGCAGTAGTACCTAAGGGATACTTGTCTAGTGGTGTTGATAAAATATGTGCCCTCCCAACAAAACACTTGTATTGCTACTCTCTATAGGCAAGGTTTGTATCTCAATTTTCTTCAGCACCTTTTGCTGCCCTGGCTTACTTCCAAGGAAGCAGAAGGAGCATTGGTAGGAGCCTGGCATGGGGGTGTGAGCCCATACCTGTGAGTGTAGATGTAGGAAGCAAGGGTAGCCCAGCAGTGGGAAATGTGCTCATGCCATAGCAAACCAGTACAGCATTGGTGCTGGTGGCAGCTTCAGAGAGGAATGGGCTGTTCTACTGGACAAGTTGTCTTTAAAGCAGAGAAGTCTTGAGAAGGCAACACTTTATGCTTCAAACAGTTCTGTATAGCAGTGAAGAGGTGCTCTTGCACAGCCAGGTTTCTGCGTATTATGTATATGTACATTCGCATATATATCTGCATACAAATACAGCGTATGTGCCTTCCAAAAAATCACAGGTATGGATGTGTCTGGGCACATATACATTCACCCAGAATGGAGCCTCTATACATTTGTGTTTATCAAGTGGGTTTTATACGGGGCAAAGTTCCCTTTGCTTTCTGCTTCCTGACATTTCAGGGAGAAAATTGTCCTGCCGTAGCCTCAGGAAAATAACTGAGCGAATAACTTGAAGTAAGAAAATAATATCCAGGATTGTTCCAGTTAAGGAATTAGCCTGCCTTGCCTCTGCAATAAAGCTTCTCTCCCTTTCCCTGTCAGCCCTGGGCACCCTCCTTGCTCGAGTTTTAATTCTAGTCTCTAATCTCAGCCGCTCCTGTGATAAATTAATTGTAATGATAGAGGCCCCAGTTACGAGGTCTGCACCGTTTGCTTGTAATCTGAGCGACAGGTTTAGGGCCTGCTTTATTTAAGATGCGAGGGTAATTACATGGGAGTTAGCATATGCAGGCAGGGAGATATGATTCATTCTCCCAGCGACGGCCATGACACAGCTGTTTGTCGGATAAAATAGAGGAACCGTGTTGTTACAAAATGTTCCCCTTATTATACCTCATTAAAAACAAGGCTGCGATAAGTCAGACCCGGCAATGAATAAAATGTATTGCCCCCTGTAAAAGCTGATAGGAGAGAAAGAGGGTCTTCCGAGCAGGCTTGGGTCATTTATTTATTTTTTGTTCTCTTTCATGCTTCTCTTCTTTCTTTCCCTCTGGTTTTCTGCCTCTCACTGGCTGCTGGAGAAAAGAAAAGGAATGTTTTCTCTTGCTTTCTCTTCTTTCTTTTCTTCTTTCTTCCTTTCTTTGAACCTGCCTGTGCCCTCCCTTTCTGGGAGTGATCGGCGATAAGGCAGGGTCGGGCCAACGGCAATTAGCGAAGCCTTTGGTAGGGAACAAAAGGGGAGATTTGTTCCCATCGGCCTAACACGAGTTGTGCCTCTTCACCTTGCCTGAATTCAACAGGCTGAGAGGGATGGCGAGCTCCCTCTCCAGCCCAGGGGCTGAAGCCTTCCTAGGCAAGTTATTAAAAAAAAAAAAAAAAAAAAAAAAAAAAAAAAATATTAAAACTTTCCTTTCAGGAGATAAAATAATTTTTTCTTTTTCTTTCCCTTTCTTTTTAAATAACCCAAGGAATGTAAGGTGATTCTCCCTTTTCCTCTGCAGGAAAACAGTGAAAGTTTAAACAATAGAAGCCAAAAGTGGGGGAGAAGGCCACAAATGACTCTGAGAGCTCATCAGGGTGAGAGGGATAGAAAGGGTCTCTCTGAACTGGCATGCCGGAGCAGAAGCATAAATCCATCGCCTCTGAGAGTACTGGGGTGCGGGAGTTCAAAGGATGGCTTTCACTCTCTCACCAGTGCTTTTTTCTTTGTGCACACTTTAAGCTGTCAGACTTCGTGGGCTGCAAGCATTCCTGCTTATTTATTTATTATTTTGGTGTCCTAAGGATACAATGTTGACTTTTGTCTTATTTTTTTAAAAATTACTATTCCGGGGAAGATAGAGTAGTTTTAAAGTAATAGGAGTAGTGAGAGGTCTTGCCCGCTCTGGAGGGCTGTCAGTTGGGAGAGAGGCATCCACCAACTTGAGCAGAGCTTGAGGCGCGCAGCTGTGGCCTTTTGGAGCTGTTTGTATGGGTTGCATTAAACCAAATGATGTGTGTCTGGGTTTTTCTAACTTTTTTTTTTTTTTTTTTAACTCTGATCAATACGTTCAGCTGCCTCTTCTCAGACCATTTGCTTCTCTCTTGCGTATGTTGTTCTTTTCTTCCCACAATAGCTGAGATGAATGAATAAGGCTGATTGATAGATTGGCTGGTTTATTTTTAACTTAAGCTATTGAGGGAGATTTGTAATAGTATCATAATTTCTCTGGATGGATATTTAAGTTATAAATACCATAACATTTGGCTAACAAGATGCTGAGCTGCGTTCAATTTAAAAATTAGATGCAATATCTTAGCAATAACTTAATTAAAGTACCAGACACAGCGAGTTAGTCCCATTTTAGGTTTGTTCCCTTGGGAATGAGTACTGTTTGTAAAAATGCATATCTGGTTTGCATTCAGAACACCAGGTTTTTGGAAGGGTAAGTCATTGCTTGCCTGGGTTATTGGCCTCTGTGCTGTATCCCAGTCCTGTGCTACCATGTGGCAGGTGGTGGGTGTTAGCAGTGGGCTCAGGAGTGACAGTGATAGCAGAAGGCATTGCAGTACCATGGGTGATCATCATGCTGGTTAAACCGATTAGGGACTTATGATGGTAGAGCTGGTGTCCTGGGAAAAGAAGAGCAGATTCCAGGGTGTAAGCTGTGTTGATGTCCTGTTGCTGCTCATGGCTTCTCCCACACCAGCCAAAGGAGGTACAAGTACCTCCAAGTCTTGTTTCTGTCTGGTGGTAGTACTGTAGTGGAAACAGCGATTTCTGGGTTAGGGGCAGTGTCAGTTCATGGCAGTCATGGCAGTACTGGTACTGGGCACCTGCTGGACTTCACAAGCCTGTTTTAGTTTAGGGTGCTGTGCACTTCTGAAGAGCCTGTTCATATCTCCTTGATCCAAGGACACAGGCTACAATGATGAGAAGGCCTCTCAAGGCAAAACATCCCAGGCCCCTGTACAAGAGCCTAGAGCATTGCTACAAATGGCAGTAGTGCTGCAAATTTCAGGACTGGACTGAAGGTTGATGTTGGAGTGCTGGGGAGAAGTCAAATTCCAGATAGCCAGCTCTTGGACAGTTTTTTCCAAATCCCTGTGTTAACCACACTTTCCCAGTATTGCTTGCTTGTCCCCTTACCTCCTTTTCCCACTTCTGTATTGATCCTCTGCACCAGTTCTCCTTTCTGAGTAGATCTTGTTTACAGAGATGTAATGAAGTGTCTTATTTCCAAATAAAATCCTGAACAAGCAAGAGTAATGGTTCACAGATTCGACCACTCCCACACTGGTAATTTACTAAAATTAAAACTTAATTAAGCCAGGCTCACTCAAAGGTTTTGCATAATTTAGTAGTCTGTCTTGGATAGCCATGGAGCTGTGCAGGCAGGCACAGCTGAGTCAGGAGCCAGGTCTGTCATCCAGCTCTGGAGTCAGAGCTATTACTTGGCAGTCTGTACACCTATTTTTTCTCACTTGTAAGATCTTAGAGCAGGTTAAAGACCTGAGCTGGAATCACTGTCTACCTTCTACTGAGGGGGAAAATGAGATCCAGAGAAAAGCATCAACTGTCCAGGCTGGTGCTGTGAATAGTAGTAAAGAACCTGATGTCTGCACTCCCTCTTCCCTATTCATGCATCACATCAGCCATTCTCAAGATGTTTTAAAATGGATTATCACACAGTAGCAGCATCTGAACTAGGATATGTCTGCCAAGGGATGCAGCTTGCATTTTAAGGTCACATCATGCAGGAATATGTCACCTTTGAGCACAGGACACTCAGTGTCACTTAGGGATGACAGCTTGGGACTGTGTGCAGCCAGCTCATGATGAGGGTACCCATAGAACTTGCTGCTATGGACTGGGGCTCCTGTGCAGGAGAGTATGGAGCAGGGAGGAGAGCTGCTTCCAAGATCTTAAAGTCTAGGGAGGAAAGACAGGCAGCAGGAGGAGTATTGAAGGAAAAATGGAAAGGCTTGAGGTGCTTTAATGGAGCAGAAGTGCTGAGGAGCATGTAGGAGTAAAGACCAAATCGATAGGCTTCTATCAGTGTGTGTTAGGCTGTGTTGTCTCCCCACCCCAGGAGATGCCCTGTCAGAGCCTGCTGTTGAATGGGGAAGAAATCTTTATACCCACAGTTACTTCTTGTTGTTTTCTTTTTATTCTATAATGGAAAGGGACAACTTTTATCACTGGAGCCTGCTGTCTCCGAGAGAGCTTTGGAGAGTCATGAGAGTAGAAATGCCAAGACTCTCTGGTGCTGTGAAATGGCGTTGGTGGAAGCACCACTGTGGCAGGTGAGTAATGTCTGAAACCCATGGCTTAGTCAGTGCAGTTTTGCTTTGCTACTGTGTCCAAGTACACAGCTGCATCAGATACAGAGCACCCCTGTGGAGTACTAAAGCCTATCTATCCCAGTTGTCCCACAGGCAACATGGGGACAATGGATGAGGACTGCCCAGGTGGGTCAGCCCAACAGGCCGTAGGAGTGCTGGTGCCTTTCTAAAGCCTTTGGGAGATGTTGGCTTGGCTGCAAGGGATGGATGAGCCAGTGCAGGTGGCTTCCCGCATAAACATGCGTGAGTAGGGCTTACAGAGAAGACATATTCTCTGCAACGGGAATATGGAGCTAAGGAAGATGTTTGAGAAGGAAACAGAGCCGCTGTTTAGCTGAAGATGTATAGAGGGGAGCTGACCTCAAAAAAAGAACCCTGAAGTCCATCCCAAAGATAAGGGAGCTGCAGAACTCAATGCCTGGACCATGAGCCCTGAATGAGGACACTCAGCACTGGTATGGAGGGGAGGGACACCAGCGAGCTGTGAGGTTAAGGATCACCCAGAAGATGCCGGCTCAAGAGAAGGGACGGCAACAACAAAAGCCGTATGTGTGTGTGTATGTGTGTAAAACCAAAGGCCAGCCCTCCCTTCCCCCTCGCCCCATAGAAACCCACCGGGGGCTGGAGCGGCAGGTGAGTAAATCACCCTCCCGGCTCCATCAGGGCCGGTCTCTTCTTTGTGTGCCGCACAAAGGCAGGGAGCGGGTTATTTGGGGTGCGTGCGGGTGTGTTGTGACGCTCGGGACCCCCCCGGCCGAGGACGAGCGGGGCGCGGGCAGCGGCAGCGGGGCCCCCGCCG